TTCTTTTGTTTAAATTTCAATTAGCCCTTCATGCCTCGCTTGAGATAATGTATTCTTTTGAATTTTGTACTGGAGAACAGGGCCAGAAGTGCTAATTTAAATTTAGACAAAAGAATATTAATCCGGCAGCCATTTATAAAAGGGGTCTATAATAAACTATTATTGAATTCAGCAAGCCGTTAACTGGCAAGTCGTTCAAGTCTTCCGACATTTTATCCTCCAGTTGGTACCAGCGCCAGTAAGGAAAATATCAGACAAATACCAAAATCAATCAACATTCCAGCAACCAAGATGGTTTCTTGGTCAATCTTCGCGAACAGGGTAAGAATGAGAGCCAAAGGAACCAAACGTATAAACTCTATTAGAACAGGAAGATTCTAGAATGAAATATGTGATAGTAAAGGTTATAAAATAACTGAGATAGTACGAGTGAGCGACTTAATTGGTCTATAATCTGTCGTCTAATGCACCGGTGAACGCGTAGAAGTTTGAAAAAATTAATAAAAAATTATAGGGAAAAAAATCGAAATTTGAAAAAAAAAGGGGAATTGCAACTAGTTTATCGGCTTAGTAACCCACGCGGGATGTTGGAGGAACATTTGAAAAATTTTTTAACCACTTGCCTCTCGCTCGTGATTTACAAATTTTCCTCGTGTTCTCCCAAAATCTCTTGTTGGTTATTACGCCGGTAAGCCTATGCAAAGTGAGGTCTATTGGTTGGACAACGTATGTGAAGCGAACGAAGAAACAAATCGTAGGTTGAATTTGGAATTAACAATGTTATTTTCTGTTTTTTTTTTTTTCCTAGCGTGCAGTCGCTAATGTTATAACGAATTTTCCTAACCTTTTAACTCCCATGAGTGACCAAAAAAGAATTTCTCCTTACCGTATCAATAGATTATCAAGCAAACGAGTAAATGGAATAAAGAAAAATATCAATTATGGGATTATTAGTTGATCCAATACCGATTTCTCCAAACTAACATCATAACTGTAAGCAGACAGTAAGGAGAATTAGAATTACTAATGAAATCTTGGTAATGCAGGGGTTAAGGCGAGGGACAGCAACAACGAAAGGGGTAATCAGCTATTTTGGCTTCTATTGGTTAACAAATAGATTCCATGTTGTACGTCTGTTCCGTCATAAAATCACAGATGATTTCAAAGTATGGCAAGAGAAAAACAGAGGCAAACGAAGTGCAGCAACCAATCAAAATGCGTGCGTAATTGAGCTTATCATATAATTTTCACTGCATCAATCATGCAAGAAATCTGTCACTTCTAATGAGATGTTCGCTCGATGGATGTGTGGGATTATCCACTACAATCCGATTCCGTTCCCTTAACCAGTTATGCATCATGATCACCTTTACGCAGAAGTGTAGTTTGTTTTCATACCTCTGATCAGCCACAATAGACGCCCCGACGGAGAGTTCCAAGATGACCTTTAAGTCCCGGGAGGGTGCCTCGTCACTTTGCTGTACTCCCATATCATAGCTGACCGCGGCATTCGACCTTGCCGCGGCATCGGAAAGGTATATGTCTTCGGGCAATAGCTTACCGTGAAGCTCTTGCTCGTCAGGAGATCGATCAATTCGTTCGATACCATGTGGGGACATGATAAGGACTTCGTAATGGAGTTCTCTGGGGGAAGGGGTGCGTCGCCATCTGTTGACAGTGGTGCAAGCGATGTAGATAGGTGTCAGGTCATCCACATCATCTAACGTCAAGGCTTGTCTGGAAGTTAGGTGTTGGACTCTAGAAATACTGAAACCTGGAAAAAAAAAGGATGAGGTTACGCCAAGAGATTCCGCTGCAGCCGTATCTACCAACGGTCTGTGGATAGTAGAACCCCTTTTGGATTATCCATCTTAGTAAAAACTGATAGAGATAAAAATAATTTTAAGTAATGGAAAGAAAAACATGGAGGTTATTCAGGCAACTGCGTTGCACTAAGTTTGCAAAATCACCCATCTACTCTACAAGCAGCCTTGTCATCATCATCATCATCATCATCATCATCATCATGTTTATTTGTTCAAGCAGGTTGAATTTATTGGCAACTGTATAAGCTGATGTGGACCTGCTGTTTTCCCACCCAACCCACCCCAGGGGAGGACATCCAGCACACAGTAATCTCGTGCGTGGGAAATTAACGTCTCTTACCCCTTACCCTTTTTAAGAGACGGGACCTCTGGCTTTACGTCTTATCCGAGAAGACGAAACAATGTGAGTGAAGTGTCTTGCTTAAGGACTCAACGTTAAGCCCCAGCTAGGACTTGAACCCGGGCCGTTTAACCCAGAGTCCAGCGCACTGACCACTGGACTACTCACGCCTCACTGGACTACTCACGCCTCCGCTATGTGAGTGTGCCAGTATTTCAAAGTTTTTCTTACCGGAGTAGTTAAAGTAAAAATTAATCATCAGGCGCAGGAAAAACTTCAGGTGGGCCAAAGAACAGCCTGATTGGGACTTACAAGAGGGACTTGAAGAGTATACTATAGCAACACCGGGGAAAACATCGGAAAGTAAAATTGAACTTATTGTTTTATTGACAAATTTCCCGAATTCTGGCATTTTTTCCGCGTTTAACGGCGCCACACGATAACTTAAGAAACGATCAGCTCTCGTGCAAATGGAATAGGAAATATATAACTCGCCGACATTTTTAGACCTCAAATGTTCTTTTGCTTTGCAGAGGACGGAGAGAAAATGTACAGTGCTTTAAATGCACGTGCTAAGCAATCGTCACGCTCATTATATCTTTGCGTTAGCACCCATGAAGAAAAGAAAAAAAAATTAGATCGAGACTCGGGGAATTCTGCTGACAGATAGTAAATGACTGAAAACGCTCTTCCAATTTAAGTTCATTTAATTAATGTCTAAACTCACAACGATATTTGCAGCTTTCTTTTAAACCTCTTTGGAAACCAGCCTAAAGCGCTGCGGCATCCTTCCTCGTTCTGCAACTGAACGAAACTGTCCGAAGAGCTCAGCGTCGATTACCTTAAATTTACCCGCCTCTCAATGCCGGAAACTCAATTTGAATTACAAATAATTTTTTTTTAATTGATATTTATATTTGCACTGAGTCTTGCACGTGGAATGAATTTACGAACTACAAGAAGTTTCAGCGTGCTCTCTAGCTTCTATGCAGTCAAGAAAGCATATAATTTCGACCTTATTGCTCTGGATATGTTCCCTCTTGTCCAAGTCGGCTTGAATATTCCTCGGGCTGAATGGAGT